TTCTCTTGGGCCAAGGCCGCCTGCCTCAGCTTGGCCAGCGCCTCTTGGATCCTCTCGGCCTTCTGCGCATCTCGTGTCCGCCTGCGTTGCCATGCCTCTTTGCGCAAGTCCACCAGCTGCTGCGGGTGGTTGGCGACCTGGCCCTCATGCTCAAGGATGTCCTCCAGGTGGCTGCGCTCCGCTGCCTTGGTGTAGGCGTGGGCCATCTTAGCACTGCCTGCCGTGGCGTCGTGCACCCAATGGATGTACGCCGTCTTCACCGCCTTTGTGAGTTGCTTGGCCATGCTCTTTACATCCTCTGCTACCCTGCTGATCGTCCCTGGGTCCACGAGGGCGCCCTCTGCTATCGCGTGCAGGTCTGCGAGGAGGGCCTGCTGCTGGTCCTTGGCTGCACCTTCTTCGTTCAGCCTGCCAGGGTCAGGCTGGTCGAGCTGCTGCGCGAGCTGCCATCTTGTGTTAATATGCTGCTGCGTCTGGTGGCCGCTGTGGGTGCGGACCTGCCGCTCTCGGCGGCTACTCGGGCCACTGTCTGCTCCTGGAGCATCATGTAGTTGTCTTCGAGCTGCTCCTTCTGGCACTCGTTCGCCAATGACTTCTCGCATAAACCTCCGCAGGTTAGCAAGCTCCCTCCAATGCATCATCTCCAATTCGTGCCTACTCGTCGGCTCCTCTCGCGTGAGACCTTGGAGAAAGCCTCGGCGTCGTGGTTCTGCTTGTCTCCATGCTCGCTCGCAGAGATCCCTGATGATGTGGCCGAGGCCAGCCTGCTGGTACCTGCGCCTGAGCAATCTTACCATTCCATCGTTGCCCCCGCCACCCAAGATGGTCTCCAGGAACGGCACGCAGACCTGCATCCAGTTGCTGTTGTCCGTGGGGAGCTGCACCAAGTTATCCATCCAGATGGCCGCCCAATACTCTAAGTCGTCTCCCATGGCCACGTAGTCTTCCCACTCCCGCTGGTGCTGGTCTTCATTCCAGCGGTCTGGTGGGGGCAGGCCCATATCACGTGGCTCCTCTGCCTCTGGGCCTGGCGGCTCTTGGTTCTGACTCCCCAGGTGATCGGTGCCCTCTGCCTCCAGAGTGCCAGCTGGCTGAGGAGGTGAGCAGTGCGTGCCCCCTGGGGCAGTATTACCTGACCCAGCTGGTTGCCGACGGGCTGACTGGCCGTAGTCGATGCTGTCCTGCTGCCCCTCAATGCGCTGGTGGTGCCCGTCGCAGTCCTCCTGATCTGCGGTCTCCTGGCGATGCTGTGGGCAGTCCTCCTCCTCCTCGAAGGGGCCGCAGTCTTGGACGTCCATGGTGCTGCGTCCTGCTGGTGGGGGAATGGCAGATCCAGCTGCACGTCGGCGAACGGACTGGCCGAACTCGAGGCTGTCCTGCTGCCCCTCGGTGCGCTGGTGGTACCCATCGCTGTACTCCTGGTCTGCGATCTCCTGGCGGTACTCCAAGTAGTCCTCCTCGTCCTCGAAGGGGTCGTGATCTTGGATGTCCATGGTGTTGCGTCCTGCTGGTGGGGGAAGGGCACCCCTCTGCATCCCTTCTGTGCAGCTGTCTGCGCTGCTGTGGGTTGGTCCCACGTCGAGGTCTGGGACACATCCCGTGGCGTTGTACCTGGGGCGCGAAAACCCCTGACCCATCTCTGAGCAGGGACCAGCTGCCTTCCCATGGTCCGCTGCGCCCGCCTCGGCCTGAGGTGGGGAGACCTTCTCAGGTGCTGGCTGATTCGCGATGTCCTTGGAGCCGCTGCCGCCGCCTCCTGCTGCGCCCCCACTGCCTGCACGCCGCTGCTGCAGCTCGGGGGGGCCCTCACCCCGCTCGGTGGGGCCGCGATCCACCGAGCTTCCTCCCGAGCTCTTCGATGGCCTCATGGCTGGTGCGGGGACCCCGTCTTCGTGGCCTACCTGGCTGTCTGACATGACGGGGCCAGGCTCAGGCGCCGGCGGGCCCTGTTCACCTCCTGAGTACTCGTCGGGAATTGTCAGGGTCTTGCCCAGTCGGCTTGCTGCTGCCTCCTGCGCTCGGGCATCATGGTGCGAGAGCTGCCGCACCAGGGTGGAGATCTCCGCCCACCACGCATGGATCTTCCTTTCGACCCCTGCCCATGGCGTAGAGGTGACGGTGTCCTTGATGCTCACGCTCTTGTAGCTCGGGGGCCTGCTATGCCCGAGATGTCGTCCACGCTCTTCCTCTGGGATGCCGATGCTCTCGCGCAGGCTGAGCTCGAGGGTGCTTGCGAAGCGGTCGTACTGTTGTCCTAGGTCCAGCATGTCCCGCTCCATCATCTTGCCGGCGACTGTGTGCTGCAAATGCTGGGGCAGCTCGTCGCAGGCGCGCGCGCTGACTCGCTCGGAGGTGGCCTGCCACAGCTCGTCAGAGATGACGTGCTGGACCTCCTTGTCGTAGTGCAGCTGCGGCACTGGCTCCATGTCGTTCTCGTCCAGGTCGCATCCTGCATCTGCCAACGCTTGCTGTCGTCGGCGCATGGCCTCCTGGCCCCCTCGCGCCGCTCGTCTGCAAGCGGCTCTGGACTTCGGCATTTTCTCGACTGTGACTGGCGGCTTAATGGCTGCTGGCCTGCGAAGTACCCTGCCCTTGAGCATGGGGGGCCGCCCCTCAGCTTCAAGCGGATGCTAATGTGCGGCGTCCACGGCGCGGTCCTGAGCAGCTCCAGCTGGTCGAAGTACGGCGCCAGGCCCTGCGAGATCAGCGCGAAGTCGATGCACCTGGCCTCACCTGCTGCTGGGAAACATGTGGGGGCGCCATCCTCCGCCGCAGCTACCTGAGCATTCAGCACCCTGGGCCAAATACTGTTGTTGAACTCCGACGGCGTCATGTTGAAGTCCCCAAGCGCTGCCCAGGGCCCTCCCCAGACGGCCATCTTCTCCCGCAGGTCGCAGAGGATGTCGACATTCCTCTCTCCAAAGCGCGTCCCACACTCAAGGTAGACGAAAGCCATTGCGAAACGGACCTTGTGCAGGTTGGAGATCACCGCCGTGACGTCACTGCCGTCCTCGTGCAGGTAGTGCTCGTCGAATCCCGCAATCCTGTCCTGGATGTCCAAGGACCCTCGCGTGATGGCACACGTGCCTCCTCGAGTGCCTTCTCCTTCTCCTGGCCGCGCCTGGGTCCAGTAGCTGTGCGTGCCATTCCTCCTGAGCGCCGCCCTTGCCTTGCTTATCTGTGCAGGCTGGCGGAGGTGGTGCTCCGCAATGCCAATGATATCCCTGTCCTTGGTGTTGTTGATCTCCATGAGGTAGCCCTGTGCCTGGGGGCCCCAGGTCGTGACGTTGAAGAAGTCAATGTGGCACGGGCGGCGAGCCTTCTTCACGCTCGCCTTGGGGCGGCTACCCTGCTGAGTGGTCGCCCTGCCCTTCTGCGTCGACGACTGTCTCGGCGCGCCTTGCCTGCGAGACCTTCTCTCGCGCCTCCTGGATGGGGGCCTCCACTCTGGCTCGGCGTTCTTCTGCTTTGTCATGTTCTGCTGCACCTGCTCCAGGTTGGGCAGCTGCTGCGGCGCCGGTGGGCACAGCCGCGCCAGCTGTCCCTGCTGCCTCAGTGCATGCGGTGGCACCTCGCTGAGGGGCTGGGCTGGCGGCGCAGACTCGCTTGCCTGGCGGGGCTTCTGCTGCTGCTGGGTCTTGCTCTTCGCTCTTTGACAGGCGCTTGGTGCGGGCCTGCTCGAGCTGGCGCAGCTGCTCCTGGTGCCTGGCCGTCTCCTCCTCCAGCAGTCGCAGGTGCTTCGCCGTCTCCTCCTCGTGCTCCTTGACCGTCTGGGCCATCCGCTCGCCCTTGGCCTTTGCTGCCCGCCAGACCTCCTTGTCTGGCTTGGACCACTTGTGGAAGTCGTCAGGCTCATGCTCGAACTGCTCCAGGAGGGCTGCCAGAGTTGGCTTCTCGGCTGCAGGCTCAGCTGGTGTCTCTTGCTTGCCGACTGTGGCCTTGAGCTTGTCGAACTCATCTTCGGCTGCAATGGAGGCTTCCATGGCTTCACGAAGCTTGCGTTCACTCTCGGCCAAGTACTGCTGGGCACTCTCAACTTGCTCTCCTGCCGATCGCACTTTCTTCTGGAGCTTGTCCAAGCGTCGAGCAGCTGCCTCCACCGCCTTGAATCCAGCGACTGGTTGGTCTGCTGGTGGCTTGGCTGCGGCGAGCTCTGGCCAGAGGGCCTCGTAGTGCTGCCTGAGCGGGTCGTCTTTGTTGAGCTTGCTGTAAGCTGCTGCGGCGGCAGCCTTGAGGTCGGCTGTCTTGTCGTGAGGTGGTGGCTGGCGTTGCCCTCCTTGTCCTTTCCCGCCTGCACCACCACCTGGCTGCCAACCATCTGCCCAGCTGATCCTGGGCGAGATTCCTCCTTGGGGCTGTGCTGCCAGCCACCCGCCATCATCTTCACGGAAGACATGACCGTCGGGGACGAGGCAGGCGAGGTTCTTGCCGCAGATGCAGAGGTCGCCCCTGCTGGTGATATTCTTGCAGTAGCGCCATCTGCTGCACCCGTCGCACACCACGTAGCTGCTGCGAGGAGGGCGACTGCCACTGCTGCTCCTCTTCCACGGGAGAACCCTCTGGCGATTCGGGGTCCCCGACCAGGCGCTGCCCGCCCCGCGTCCGCTGCCGCCACTCCCCATGGCTGCAGCGATGCCGCGCGCGCGCCCGACGCCCGTCTGGGAACTGTCCTCGGTCCAGAGGTCTCCCTTCGGCCTGGAGGCTGGACAGCCCCCCAGGTCGTCATCTTGAGCCAAAATGGCTACGGGGAGGAGGAGGAGGAGGAGGAGGAGGAGGAGGAGGAGGAGGAGGAGGAGCAGGAGGAGGAGGAGGAGGAGGAGGAGCAGGAGGAGAAGAAGGAGGAGCAGGAGGAGAAGAAGGAGGAAGAGGAGGAGGATGAGGAGGAGGAGAGGGCTATGACATCTGAGACATGTCATGGCCCAGGCCACAATAACCCACTCCCCCAAATCATCACCTCTCCTGGCCGCCCCGCGCAAAGCCCCCCCCCCTCCCCGCGCCGCCTCTGGGGTGACGTGGAGGCCTCGCTGCCGGTCTGCGGCAGCATCCTCCAGCTGCCTCGCGGCGGCGCGAGGCCCAGGCAACGCCGAGCCCCTGGGCACCCCGCGGCGCCATGAGCACATCTCGGCGACCGGCTCGTCACGAGTCTTTCGGGCGGGTGGTATACGGTGACGGCATTGGATAAGGAAACCTTCGATCAGGAATCCCCCAGGGTCGTGGATTGGCCACGGGTATCACCAGGGTCGTGGTTCTGGAAGCCGAGGTGAACTTCGTGGCCGTGGATATCACCGCCGCCCTTGCTAGACAGGGACTCCCCCAAGGTCTGAGGCCTCCTGGGCACACTCCTTAGCCAACGCCCTCACAGTAGTGGGGGGTGACCCCCCATTTGGGTCACCCCCACCTTTAGGGGGTCACATGCGAACCCTGCCCCTGCCCCCCACGATTTCTGAGGGGGAGGGTGGTAGGGGTAGGGTTCACATGTGGCCCCCTACCATACCCGCTCGAGTCTTAGCCGCTGAAAGCCGGTGGCCTCGGGACGGTGAACGCAACGTCCCGGGATGAAGGAAGGCGGCCCCGGCGAAAGGTTCCAGAGGTCCGGTGGCCCAAGCATGCAACATATCGGATCACCCGATGTCCGTGTCCAGACGACAGGTGAGCGAACAATCCAAGACGCCTTGTTCCCCCCGCTTCGCCTGCGCCGATTGCCAGCCAGCGTAACGGGAGGATGAGGATGCTGGGGGGAGGAAAACGGAGGAAAAGGGAGGGAAGGAGGAGGAAGAGGAGGAGGAGGAGGAGCAGAAGAGGAGGAGGAGGAGGAGGAGGAGGAGGAGGAGGAGGAGAAGGAGCAGGAGGAGGAGGAGGAGGAGGAGGAGGAGCGAGGAGCGAGGGGGAGGCGGAGAAGGAGGAGCAGGAGGAGGATAGTCAAGGGAGAGAGAGGGTGGGAGGGTGGAGCGGAGGTGATGAAGTGAAGGGGGAGCACGAAGGAGCAGGAGGGAGGAGGATCTTGGCAGGAGGCAAAGGGAGGGAGGAGGAAATAGGAGTGGGCGGGGAGGACGCATGTGAAGAGGATAGAGGAGGATGGTCAGGGCCAAGTAGAAGGGGAGGGATGGGGGGAGGGAGGGGACGAGAAGGTAGGAAGCGGGAGGATGAGGAACGCACAATTCGGCCACGAGTTTGTCAGCTGGTCTGGCCTTGGATTTACGGCGAGCGGTGGCAAAAGAGGCGGATACCACCCTCGCTCTCGCTCGCACGATACCTCGAATCAAGTAACCAGGATAATAAGACACGGGGACGATATACAGCACACTTCATCACGAGAAACAAAAAGTCAACGATGACAAAACTGCTGGGGCTTCCCGAGGCCCAGAGGCACGAGGGGGAGGAGGTCTTCAACAGCAGGCTGCTGTTTGCAGGGCCGAGCCATCAGCCACATCCTCGTCCTATTCATCTTCCTCTGTTGTTGTTTTCTCTCTCTCTCTCTTTCCCAGCATCTCTCTCTCACTCTCTCCCTCTTATTCATACATATAGATAAAGAAAAGGTTCTTTCTGTGCCTCCGGGGAATGCTTATGGACACTTCTCGGAAGCTGGACTTCCGAACTTTCTGAGAAGGCCCGCCCTATCTCACTTCCCTCCCGGGCTCGCCGCCGAATACTGTATACATACCATATACAAGCATGTTTATAAACATATGTACCCACATCGGTACACATCTACTGGGGAAACCAAACGGCACCAATACTGCTATCCCCCGGGACCTCTCCTGGGGTGCGTTCTAACCAGAATCTCGAGACGAATCCAGCGGCAGCGTCGAGGGCCTCCCGGACGGCTCGGGAAGGGAAAACAAACGAGCGAAGGGTAGCGGCCTCGGTACCTCTGCCTCCTCTGACATTTGTGCACATCTGCACGCAAAACTTGGGCGCCCGAAAATCCCGGGGTAACTCGGGCCCGGGGTACCTCGGGTTCGGAGTCAGGAAAAAACAAGCCCGAGTTAGCCCTGACCCGAATTTGCCCTGATGATTTTGGGCTCTGGTCGGCCGAACTATCCGGGGCAACTCGGGCCTGGGGTAACTCGGGTTCGGATTCGGGAAAATCGAACCCGAGTTAGCCCTGACCCGAGTTACCCCTGATGATTCGGGGCTCTGAAAAATCCCCGACATTCTTTATGTTGCTCCCATCGCACTTAGGAACCACATCCTAGAAATAATTTCGAGCTCCCAGAACAGTGTCGGAACAGAGTCGAACGAGTATCGCCTCCCAGGGCCCGACACGCGAAAACCCTCAAACTTGGGCACTTTCGTGGTGCTCGAACTCCTTTCTGGTGCTCAACAGGCTAAGGCAGCTCGGAACATCCTAAGACATTCTCTTCCTCCAGCCCTTCGCCCTCGCTCCCGCACGCCGAACCTCCCCCACCCGCCCGAGTATCGTTGATCCGATCCCCATCCCCAGCGGCGTGGCCTGGGCCCCACTGGCCGCTTTACCCCCCGAGATGGGGATACAGGTCATTCCCTTCGGGTTGCGAGGGGTGCATCCCCAAAACTGGGGTGGCCATCTCGTGGGGGTCTCGAAGGGGATAGGGCGTGGGGATGGGGATCGGAGGAAAAATCCTGACCGCCGGCGTCGTTCTGCCGCGTGCCGGCGCCCCCCCGGCGGCCAGTCTCGCACCGCGTCCTCCGCCCGCCGTGCCCTCTCCAACAGCGCGCGGGGCACCACGTGGGCAGGGACCGGCCGTCCGGGCACTCCTGTAGGCCTACCACGCCATGTTCTTGGAACCCCAAAGCGTTCTGAGGACAAAAGCATTACTCTTAGAAGACAAAACCGATGCCGACTCTTATTACGTTCTAAGGACATTTTTGGGAAACCGTACCAGGCTCTTAGAACATTGTTCGGTAGGCCTATAGGCGCACGAGGGCGCTTCGCCACGTGGGAACGCTAGATAAGGAGCTGCAAACAAGTTTGGGCTTCCGCCCGCCCCCCGAGGCCGCGGGACGAGGGAAAGCCACTCCGCTCTTGAGGCAGGGAGGCGCCCGCAGTGGAGTGGGACCCGGGCATCCGAAATTCCCTGCTTCCAACGACCGACGTCTGCAGTCGAGCTGCTACCAGAGTGAGCGCCAAGTAAGGAACGAAGCCCTTTGCGCGCTGCAGAGAGCGCCTGGGTGCACGGAAACGGCTGGAGGAACAGGCAGGGAGGACCTGCGGAACAGCGAGCCCCGTCAGCACCCAGAGTGGCCCTCCTTTCAGCGTCTTGGCTGACTCCTGCACCTCGTCCCCTCGACTTCTCCCCCTCCTCCTCTGGAGGCCTCCCAGATGGGGTCCGAGTGCTCAAATTGGGGCGGGAGATCGCGCCGCTTCGCCGATGCATCAAGGATACATCGGCGATGTACCGGCGACTTCAACGATGCATCGGCGCCATCGGAGTGAAGGAAATAGAGCTCCACCTCGAGCCACATCCCCGATGCATCGGCGATGCGGCCCCATCTGGGAGGCCTGGACCCTCCCCAACCCTCCTCGCCCCCTCTTCTTGGCGGCGCGCAAAAAGGGGGTGGGAGGAGAGGGAAGGCTTTCTAGACGGAGGAGGCTTCTTAGAAGGCGCCAGCCCTACATCTATTGGTAAGGGCCCGAGCAGGGTACTTCTAAGAAGCCTCCCCCCCCTCCTGGCCATCCTCTGCGCGTGGCCGATCTCCATCTCCTTCGGCGGAGCCTCTCCTCCTCCCCGTTTGCCCTTCCTAGTCGTCGACGCTCTGGCGCAGCGCGGCGGCAGCTGCGCGGCCTGGCCAGCGGGGCGTGGTCCTCACTGCAAGCAGCACTTCCCCGGCTCCCCTCCCCCCCCCGCCCTCCCGGGGAGGAGGAGCGCAGAGCACTCCGAGGGGAGCGCGGCCGACGTGCGAGAGACGGCGTGGTGCGGTGGCGACGGCTGCCTCGCATGCCCAAGCGGGACAGCAGGGGGGGGGGGGGACAGCTGCGGGGGTCGGCTGCCCGAGGCGAAGCGCCAACCACAGGGAGCAGCGGATCGGAGAACTGCCCGGGCGCTCAAGGGGGACACGGAGGGAGACGGCGGGGGCCATTGTGCATCATGGTCGGTCGCGTGCTCCTCTTCGCCACCGTGGCACGCAACTGTTGGGGGGAGCTGCGCAGTTGTATGCGCGGTGTGCTCCTCCATCCACTGAACTTCTCTACGTAATCGTTTCCTGAGTTATTCGCTGAGACTTGGTTATGAACCGTGCTACGTGGGACATGTAGGGAGAATGGAGAGCGGAGGGGGAAAGAGAGAGAGGAAACAATGAGGGCCCTCTTCCTCCTCCTCGGCCTCATCCTCATATCTCCTCACCTCACCTCATTCCGCATTCGCTCTCGACGTGAAACAGCGAGAGCCCACGCCGCACAACATCGCTCCGCTGGACCAATGGACGGACCCTAGGGTCAGAGAGCTGCGAGAGTCCTACGCTTGGGAGCTTCCGGAGAAGCGAATCGCCACTGTTGTCCGCGGAAGACGCCACCCTGCTAAAGTCTCCAACAGTGGCGAGATGTCTGAGCCTGTGAGGTGAGGAAGAAAGATGAAGAGGAAAGCAAAAGCTGGTCTGGCCTAGCGCAAACCTCCCGACATCCCCTCTTCCATGCCTGCCAGGCCTTCGGGTCATACATTGGGCCTCCAGCGGCCATTCGGGCTGATCCAGGCAAACTCCGGAAATCTCTCGGCAAGGCGCAGCTGTTGGAACGCGTCCCGAGAGTGGAAAACTGCAGAGAACGGACGAACATGCCGAAACTCTCCAAGCTCGAACCTCTATGTCTGGGCCATCCTTCTTCATCCCCTGAGATCAGACCTTGCGACAAAATGACAGCGTCGCGAACAATCGTGACCAGAGCCCTGCACACCATCTTTCCGCAACATATTGTCGAGCCAGATCGATCTGTAGGGGTCCCGGGCCTCGAAGCCGGGCGATCATGCCCAGCGCGAAGCAAATTGCAACACCCAGGTCTCAGGGTCCCTGGGGTCCCCCCTGACGGATCCAACCATACTTTTGGGCGATTTCGTAAGTAGAGCGGCCATTTCCACCCTACTGTTCAAGCTCTTTCGATGCCGTTGTCCGCGCTTCTTTGCCGTCGCTGTTCCTGTCGTGCGTCTTCGGGAATGTCGACCATGTGTTCTACGGCTGAAGTTTCCGCCCTACTGTTTCACATCGCCTGGGGCGCATTTCGGACAGTCTTAAAGCGGAAAAGCAACTACAAACACGAAGAATCCGAAGTAAGGGCCGCTACTTGGTAAGGCTTCGAGTCGCGCACGGACAGCCCCACGGGGTGGTCCCAGCTGGCCTCAACAGAAGAGGAACAACAATGGCGTACACGCAAATTCTTGACGTTCCGCACGGGTTTCTTGGATCTGCGCTGGGACTCCCCTCCCTGGCGCGCGGAGCGCGCCGGGGGCGGCGCCGGAGGCGCCGCCATGGGGGTCCCAGCGCAGATCCAAGAAATCAGCGCGGAGCGTCGAACGTTTATGTTTATGCTGTCTTTTGACCTTCGCAATAGGCTCCCTGAGTAGTATCGTTTGGCCTCAGCAGGCCCCCCGAGTAGCCCGGGGCGGACTCGACACGTCAAATCTAGGAGACGCGGAGGCCCGTTGACGGGCGCCGCGAGGCCGGGGGGTCCTGCGGAGGACCGCTGGGGCTCATCTCTGGAGGCTCTGCGGAGGCCCGCTGGGGCTACCTGGGGGGAGGGGCTGGCACGACGACGGCGCCGACGCAAACGCCGACGACCACGACGACGACGACGACCACGACGACGACGAGGACGCCAACGACGCCGACGCCGACGCCGACACCAACGCCGACGCCGACGCCGACACCGACGAAGACGCCGACGCCGACGCGGACGACGACGCCACCGACGCCAACGACGCCGACGACGATGCCGACGACGACGACAACGACAACGACGACGACGACGACGATGCCGACGACGACGACGACGACGACAACGACGACGAGGACGACGCCGACGCCGAGGACGACGCCGACGACGACGACGACGGCGGTGCCGTCCTCGTCCGCCAGGTTGCGGGAGTGCTGCGTGCCGCCGCGCAGCAGCTCGGCGCCAGCCTGTGCCGGACATGGGCGCTCCCACGCAGCAGCTTCGGCGCGCCCGCACGCGAACAAAACCTCGTCGTCGTCGTCGTCGTCATCGCCGTCATCGTCGTCGTCGTCGGCATCGTGGTCGTGGTCGTCGTGGTCATCGTCGTCGTCGTTGTCGGCGTCGGCGTCGGCGTCGTCGTCGTCGTCGTCCTCGTCGTCGCCGTCGTCGCCGCAGTCGTCGTGGTCGTCGTCGTCGTCGTCGTCGTCGTCGTCGTCGTCGTCATCGTCGTCTATCAGGGTCGGCGGCACCGGCCGCATGGCCTCTCTAGTACCCTGGGTGGCTAGATGAGGCCTGCGTTCGTAAGACATGGCGTGAGGGAGCGTTGGGCGTGCGTTAGAAGTGCACGCTGGCATCCTTTATTCCCACATCGGTGCTTGCACTGAAAGGGTCCGACTGGAACTTTGCACAATTGCGAGAATGGGCGGGCGATTTCGGTTGGCGGCTAGATTCCCAAATTCCCGGTTTCGGGCTCCCGGGCTCCCCCTTCCGAGAACCAGGCCGATTTTGGTGGGCGGCGGGGTTCCCGCGTTTCCGGGCTCCCGGGGTCTTGGTCGATCTCCTTATCCATCGGTCTCACCATCGACCTTATCAGCCACCTCTCTATCGATGTCACAATCGATCTCACAATCGATCCCACGATCGATCCCACAATCAAAAGAAATAGACGCTACCCCTCCTGGGATTATCCCCCCTTTTCGTATAACGATTTACATGTGATTCTGCCACATCGTCCATCCGAAATGCGACCTCACACCATCCCAGCCGAGCCGGTCTCCCCCCCTCGCCATCCTCTGCAACCAAAACTATGGGCGCGCACTCTAATCACAAATCAACAGTTTTCAAACATTCCTTGCAAAAGAAAAAAAGCAAGTGTACACGCGCGCGTCGTCGCACGCGCATGCCGAAATCCTTCAACATCCTTCGGTTCCGTGAGAAACTCAGAATCGAATGTCCAAAAAACACATAATATCACATGGTCTCGCAACACACATTTTCAAATTACCCTGGCGAAGGACCCAACCATATGCAGATGTGGGTACCGCAATTGTGATTATCTTCTTCGGTGCAGTTCCCTATGGGGCCACGAAGCGGTGCACTAGGTGTGTGGGACGCACGCGGGCGGTCCCACTGGGGGCGTCGGTGGGTCCGTGGGGCCACGAAACGTTGTATCGGGTGGGTGAAAATGGGCTTCTGGGGCGCATGCGGACGGTCCCACTGGAGGCTCCGGCAGAGCTCCCTTTGGGGCCACGAAGCGCTGTACCAGGTGGGTGAAAAATGCTGAATTCACGCGCGCCAGACAGACGGTCCCACTGGGGGATTCGGTGGAAGTCCGTCCCTATGGGACCACGAAACGCTGTACTGGGTGAGTGAAAATGCTGAGTTCATGCGCGCCAGACGGTCCTACTGGGGGCTTCGGTGGAGCTCCCTATCGGGCCTCGAAACGCTGTACTGGGTGGGTGGGAATGCCAAATTTATGCGTCCCAGACGTTCCCACTGGAAGCTTCGGTGGAGCTCAATATAGATCCACGAAATGCTGTACTGGGTGGGTGAGAATGCCAAATTGGGCTTCTGGGACGCATGCGGGCGGTCCCACTTGGGGCTTCGGTGGAGCTCCCTATGGGGCCACGAAACGTTGTACTGGGCGCGTGAAAATGCCAAATTCATGCGCGCCGGACGGTCCCACTGGGGGCTTCGGTGGAGCTCCCTATGGGGCCAAGAGACGCTATACTGGGTGGCTGAAAATACAAAATTCATGCGTCCCAGGCGGTCCCACTAGGGACTTCGGTGGAGCTCCCCATGGGACCACTTAAGCGATGTAATAAGTGGGTGAAAATGCTAGACTTAGTTTCTGGGACGCAGACGGGCGGTCCCACTGGGGGTTTCGGTGGAGCTCCCTATGGGGCCACGAATCGATGTACGAAGTATGCGAAAAAACAAAAATTGGTTTCCGGGACGCACGCGGGCGGTCCCACTGGGGGCTTCGGTTGAGAATCGCTGTGCTGGGTAGGTCAGGATGCCAAATTTGGTTTCTGGGACGCATGCGGGCGGTACCACTGGGGGCTTTTGTGGAGCTCATTATAAGGCAACGAAGCGCTGTACTGGGTGGGTGGAAATACCAAATTGGGCTTCTGGGACGCATGCGGGCGGTCCCACCTGGGGTTTCGGTGGAGCCCCCTATGGGGCAGCGAAACGCTGTACTGGGTGGGTGAAAATGCAAAATTGGGCTTCTGGGACGCATGCGGGCGGTCCCAGTGGAGGCTTCGGTGGGGCTCCCTATGGGGCCACGAAACTATGTACTGGGTCGGTGAGAATGCCGAGATGGGGCTCCCAGGGCGCATCCAGGCGGTCCCACTGGGGTCTTCGGTGGAGCTCTTTATGTGGCCACGAAAAAATGGAATGGGCAGGTGGAAATGCCCAAGGGCCCTTTCGGACCCCTCTTGGAGCAGGCAGGGGCCCACAGGGGGCCCGCAGTGCCCCTTTCAGGGGCCATTCCTTCACCCCCTGTTTAGGTCACCCCCCATTGCCACCCGCCTGACCCTCTCTGCAGCTCAGCGTGGGAGCTTCCAGTGCCATCTGGTTGACTCTTGTGAATACGCGCCACCCGACGCCAATCGACGCTAGTCGACGCTGCATCGGCACTAGTCGACGCTAAATCGACGCCCATCGACGCTAAATCTGCACAATCTCATTGATTACCGGACGCTATATCGACGCTACCGCGCTCTAAAGACGGAATTGCGAGGGTACGGTAGATTCGTGCGGCGTCGTTCTGAATACTTTCTCTACCTTCGATATCCTCGGGAGGTCTCTAAGTTTGAAGATCACCCCCTGCCTCTCTCGGCAGTGAATACACTGCGCCCCTCCTCATCCTCCTCCTTCTCATCCTCCTCCGTTTTAACTCATAAATCACTTCTCCCAGTCGCACCCCGAGGCCAGTTTTTAGGGCGGGCCAGGCGTTTCACCAGACACTTCCTCACCAGTTATGCTGCTGGCGCTTAAAAATTGGCAACAGGTTTACAGATGGAGGGCGGGCTGGTATCAAAATGTGGCTCTCGCCTTTGCGCCGCGCACAACCGTCTCATACAACATTACAAGAGTTTCACGAAGTGAGGGCACATCGTTTTCAAAATGCAAGAGTTTCAAGAATTGAAGGCGGTGCCTTTTCAATATGTGGCTCTCGCATTCGCGCCACGCACATGGGCTTATACAGTTTGCAAAGGTTCTACGGATTCCCATGATCAGCGTACCAGTGGTGGTGTTTTGGAAGGATTCAAGATTATGCGGGTGCAGCAATTGCGTTGATTCGCGGTGCTGACGTCCATAGAATGGCGTTCTGGCACGATTCAGGATCGTCAAGACGCAACAGTGGCGTTGGAATCCCGAGAACAGTTTTTTGGCATGCTTCAAGGTCTTCAAACGGTTGTTTTCCACTGAGGCAGTTCCCTCAATGGAAATGAACCGTTGTAGGGGCCTATGGAGAGGGAGCTTGGGGAGAGGATTTATTCCAACATCGTTGATGATTCTTGGTTTTACACTGGTCCTCCTCCTCCTCCTCCTCCTCCTCCTCCTCCTCCTCCTCCTCCTCCTCCATCGTTGTTGCGCGGCTGGTGCCGCGGACAAAAGAAGTATTTTCCACTACTGGTCGGCCCCCAGCCCGTCAATAAGTGCGCCGATCGGAGAATTAGCTCCCCCTATTGGGGTGGGGTCTTAAAGATCTGCCTCGAGCATTCGACGCGACTGCGCTCCCGAAGCGGAATTGCCGAGGTTGCTGACGAGGCTCCCACGACTTGCTCTTGGTCCGGCGTGTTCCCCTACTGGCGGATTTTGAAGAAAAATGCAATATAGCCAAAAAATGCCCAACATCTATTCAAAAATAAAAACAAACGTCCCCAGAATATTGTTCCACCATTTTTGAATACAGTGGCGACCCATGCCAAGAAACACCCTGCTTGCCTCCAGGGTACCCTGGGTTTCTTGGGTTTCGGTGGCTTTGCTGTGGAGAGCGCGACGCTCCCACACCAAAAATCAGTGGACGTCCTGGGGTCTCAAGGTTTGGTTTCTTGTGGAAGGTTTCTTGTGGACTTTCCTCCTATTGTAAACATTGGACCAGGTTTGTCTTGAGAAGGTTCCTGGGAGCAGGCCCAGGCTTCACACATGAGAAGCCTCCGGAGGGGAAGAACCACACAGACACGATCGTCGACCCCCAGGAAGATATGGGACAATGTAGGAAGAGTGGGGGGAAGACGAACGCCCAGAAGATATGGACAAATTTTGGTCATCCTGGGATGTTTGTGCTTATTTTTTTGTGTAGAGGGACGGGCCCGACTTCAGACTTGCTGCCGAACGCCCGTGGCAGGCGCGCGGCGCCTGCGCGGCGGCGGCTTCGCCGGCGCACGGGAACACGGTGGCGCCACCAGCGGCCGCGGGCACCGACCAGGGGCGAGGGATGCCATCCTCCTTTTGTGAGTCTTTTCCTCCTGCTCCTCCTCCTCCTCCTCCTCCCTCCTCCTCCTCCTCTTCCTCCTCCTCCTCCTCCTCCTCCTCCTCCTCCTCCTCTCCTCCTCCTCTCCTCCTCCCCCTCCTCCTCCTCCTCCTCCTGCTCTCTCCTCCTCCTCTCTTTTCCTCCTCCTCCTCCTCCTCCTCCTCCTCCTCCTCCTCCTCCCTCCTCCTCCTCCTCCCCCTCCTCCTCCCTCCTCCTCCTCCTCCTCCTCCTCCTCCCTCCTCCTCCTCCTCCTCCTCCCCCTCCTCCTCCCCCCTCCTCCGCCTCCCTCGTCCCCAGCGCTCAGTTCGGTTCCGATCAGTTCCTCTTCATTTTCCTCGAACTTCCTTCTCCTCCTCAAACCTCATTTTTCGATCCTCGACGCCCTATTCTCCCGCTCCTCCCCTCGTCCTCCCTCGTTCCTGCCCCTCCTCCTCCTCCTCCTCCTCCTCCTCCCTCCTCTCCTCCTCCTCCCCTCTTCCCTCCTCCCTCGTCCTCCTCCTCCCGCGTCCCTCTTAACGAAAAAGGCAAGGAACTGCACAAGCGTAGACTTTTGAATGGTTCGCCCTGATTTATGGGATCTGCGCTGGACCCGCCTGACGGCGCCTCCAGCGCTGCCCCGAGGGAGGGGGGCCAGCCCCGATCCAAGCAGTCCGCGCGGACCTCCAACAATTGAGGAGCCGTCCCTGCACTGTTCGCCACTGGGTAACCTGGTCCTGAGGTTGCCCACCGTTTTCGGGCACCCAGGACCCTCCACGGGCCCTAGAACGGTCAGAGAACGGCTCGGGATGGAAAGCTCGTCCTGGGGGACCCATTTCCATCAGGACCCGTTTCCCCCATGCTAAAACTAGCAACAAAACAAGGTCGAAATACATGAAATGGGGAAACGATAAGATAACGCTACCTCTACTCCCCAAACCTCCCCCAGGGTGCGTTCTGACCAAGATTCCGAGGCGAAGCCAGCGGCGACGAGGGCCTCCCAGGAGGCCCAGGAAAAGGAGAAGGAGGGAAAAGTATGGGTGTGGGTACCTGTTTCCTCCTCGGACGATAGGCGAATAGAAAAGTCACCCGTGCGCCTTGAGTCCAGCTGGGCAGAGGACCAGGTCCCTCCTCCTTCTTCTCTCGTCGTGTTACCTCTACCGCTCCTCCTCCGCTCCTCCTCCTCCTCCTCCTGCTGCTGTTGCTGCTGCTGCTGCTGCTGCTGCTGCTGCTCCTTCTCCCCCTCTCCTTCCCTACTCCCTCCCTCCTCCCGATTTCATCCTCCATCCTCTCTCCTCCCTCCTCGTCCTCCCTCCCCACCTCCTCCTGCCTCCTCCTGCTCGTCCTGCCTCCTCCCTCCTCCCTCCAGCCCTTCTCCCTCCTCCCTCTAGCCTTCCCTCCAGCCCTCCCTCCCGCCCTCTCTCCCGCGCACGCGTCCGCAGGTCACCCCGTTCCCGCTGGTGCGCCTGCTTCCGCCCCCCCCCCCCCCCCCTGGCACAAACCAACAAACCAGCCAACCTTCCCCCTTCCCGCCCTCCTTTCTCCCTCCCCCCACCCTCCTCTCGGTCCCTCCGTCCCTCCTTCCCTCCTCCCTCCCCCCTCCTCACCGCAGCCTGGCTCGAGGCTCGGGGGTGAGGGGAAGAGGGACCGACGTAGAAGCTGGAGGGGGGGACAGAGCAGGACGAGGACGAGGAGGACCTTCCTCCACCCACACAGGAGGATGCCGAAGAGGACAATGGGTGACGATGAGGGGGCGACGAGGCGAGGGATGCTCGGGAGGACGAGAAACACAGTCCGAGGAGACGCTGGGGCACCGTGGTCAGGTACAGGATCGCGGTGGCGTAGCGGAACGGGCGCCCGTTGGTGTCCACGTGGAGGCCAGCCGGGAATCCGCGGCGGGCTCGGCCGGAGGCCCTCCCGGGCGGGTAGTGGTGCACGCGCGGGGCCTGCACGGGGACCGGAGGGAGGAGGCAAGAGGGAGGGCGGAAAGGGAAGATGCGAGGGGTGGGAGGTAAGACTTGGGGGGGGGGTCGAGGGAGGAAACAAAGGGAGGGACAGGGTGGAGGGGTGCGAGGCGGGGGGATTGTTCATGGCCGCCGCGTGGGGGATCGAACCTCGGGGCTCTCCGCAAGCGGTGGATATTTGTATGCTTGTCCCCTCTCATTCGGTCCGAATAGATCCATCTCCACAGCCTGCCGAGGTCCCCCAGGATCGACACCACAGGCAATGGTTACGGAAAAAAACGAGTCGGCGGAGAATGAGGAACGAAGGCGGAGGCGGCTGAGGAGGATGCGGATGCGGATGCGGATGCGGAGGAAGAGGAGGAGAATGAGGAGGAGGAAAAGGAGGAGGAGGAAAAGGAGGAGGAGGAAAAGGAGGAAAAGGAGGATGAGGGGCAGTAACGAGGGAGGACGAGGGGAGGAGCGGGAGAATAGGACGTCGAGGATCGGAACATGAGGTTTGAGGAGGGAGAAGGAATTTCGAGGTAAAGGAAAAGGAACTGATCGGAACTGAACTGAGCGCTGGGGACGATCTTTGAACAACCACCAAAACACGGCATCTGGAACAGATAGTTTCTCGTCCCTGCGACGGCCAACGGCCGGGTCAACCAACACTTCATGGGGGATTCCTGCGGGGGGGACTGGCCCCCGCTGGCCCCGAAGGCAAGTCCCGACAAGGCGGATGGCCACCAGGGGCGCCCGCGTGCACCAGCCTCAAAACCCAGACTGCAGGCCCAGAGAACGTCCTCCACGCTGCCTGCGAGGTGCCCTGCCTGCTCGGTGCTGGCGTGGCGGGGCCTCACGGCCGGCTGCTCTGCCTGCACCCGCCGTCGACGGCCTCTCCGACTTCACCACTCCCACCCCCGCTCCCCGCACTCCCCCTGCCGAGCGCCACAAGCCCGACGGCCGTCGCCTCCACTCGCCCACAACAATTTCATAGGCCCACGGGCCGCTACAGAAACAAAGCGAGCGCTGGTGGCAACATGCGCTGGCAGGGCGAGGGAGGCATGGGGCCACGGCGGGCGCCCTCGGGGTCACCATGGACGCCCGGCCACGAGCCGGAGAACGAGGCGAAGACGACGTACTCGACGACTCTTGCTGCTGCTGCTGCTGCTGCTGCTGCTGCTGCTGCTGCTGCTGCTGCTGCTCTCATGGCGTCAACATCGGCGGCGCGGGGCGACGGCCACCACCCTCGCCAGGCAATGGACAAGGAGACCTTCGATCAGGAATCCAGGGTCTGGAAGCCAGTCGAAGGCCAATTGTGGATCGGCCATGGATATCACCGCCGACTTCACCTGATAAGGAACCCTCCGGGGTCTGAAGCCCCTGGGGCACGCTCCTGCACCAGTGCCCCCACCGTACAGTGCCTTCCCCAATCCTCAGCACCGAGCCTGCTCGCTTGCGGTGCTGCGCCAAACGCTTCCGCACCCGACGCCCCGCCGCGCTCTTCGACGCCGCTCCCACGGGCCTCTCCGCCCCCGCCTCAAAGAACACCTGATGGAAAGTCTCGACCAGCGGCCAGCCCGCTGCCGCGCGCGGGAGCACACTGAGCTTGGACCCGGTGCTGTTCTCCATGCGCTTTGGACCTCGGGCCCCATTGGTGGCTGGAGCGAGATGCGGCGGATCTGACGCACCACGTCTGGCGGCCCCTTGCCAGCTACGTTGTCCTCCAAACAGATGTCGAGCACCTCCTTCGAAGGGCCCTCGTTCGCGTTCCTCCTGATGGTCGACGGCGCAAACGGGGTGCCGTGGCTGGCAGAGTCCATGCTGGGGTTCTGCGCCTTCGTCGTCTCCAGCTCCGTCGCCCAGGCCGCGCAGCGGCCGTTTGCGCGCGAGCTCGCCCTCGAAAACCGAGCCGTCTCGTCGATGAAGTAGGCTTAGGTCGGGCGCGTCTTCCTACGGGGGGATGTTGGACGAAAGCCCCAACATGTTCAAAATATTCAAGAGATCGTCCCCAAACTATTTGTCGGACTAGTTTGGGATCTTTCCCCTGCGGAGGGACAAGCCCGACCTAAAGGTAGGCTTCGGCGGCGCTCGCCTCCGAGTCCGCCCGCTGGCGAGGGCTGGCGAGGCCCGCGCGGGCGAGTGCGTCCCCTGCGCCTGCGGGCCCGCCGACCTGCGCGCGGCGCCGTCCGCCGCCGCCTCCTCCGCCTCCTCCCGCGCCGTCTGCGGCTGCTGCGCCCCTGCCACCTGTCGCCGCCTCCTTCCGCTGCGCCCCCCCGTCGCCCTCGGCCCCCCTCGGGGGCGGCCAAGGGGGGGGGGGCGTCCAAGAGGGGGCGGGGCGCGAATCATGGCCGGCGGCGCGCGCGCGGCAGCGCCAGGGGGGGGCCAGGGACGCAATGAAATAAGAAGAGGCGCCAGGACATCTGGGGAAATACCATGGCCCACGCCATGATATCCACCCCTCCCTGGCCATCGCCCCCCGCTTTGCCGCCGCCACCCCTCGTCTGCCCGCGGGTCAAATGCAGCCGGGCATCTGGGTGGGCGTCGCCGAACAGCACGGCGCCCTCGGCCGCGGCCGCCTCGCGCGAAGGGGATGAGCGGCAAGCGGAGCGCGCGCGATCGCTGCACTCGGAGAGCTCAGCGAAGCGGGAGCCGGACACGCCGCAGATGCGGTGCCGAGGGCTCGCAGGTGTCGAGGCGCGACGGCTCTATATTGCGCGAGCGTCTCCCGTTAACCAGTGCTCCCTGGATGCGGTCCTGGAACCCTGGCGCGCGATGCGCCGGTTGGTCTTCGTCGGGGCCTGGGACATCTGGACCGCGCCGTGCATCCGCCCAATAGCGTGCGCGAGGGCAGCCTTGGCGGCGAACGAGGAGCTGCAGTTGGGCCGCGGGCGCGCGTGAGAAGACCGCGCGGCGGGGCCTCTGCCCCCAGAGCGAGGGGTCAGCCTCGGGGGGGCCTCCGCCCCCAGAGCGAGGGGGGCTCTCGGCCGCGGGGCGCGCGCCCCCGAGGATCGGCACATGCACCTCCGGCCAAAGGGGGGGCAACGCCAGGACAGAGCACGGCAGCAATGGGCCCGCCAGGTCGGCACCGGCACTCCTCGCCAAAGCCCCATCTAGTTAGCTGCTGCGGGTCATCCCGCGCGCTGAAAGCCCTTGGATCAGGCGGGGGCCCCGGCGCGCCCAAGCTCAGCAAGCGCCCCCATCGCGCCCCCCCCCTTCGCAAGTAAGACCCCCCCCCCCAAAAAAAAAACAAAAACACGACGACAACAACAACAACAACAACAACAACAAAAGCGTCGCCGACAAGTGTCAACGCGCCCCTGGTCTACGAGTGCGCGCCCGGCACTGTCTCTACCTCGTAGCTCGAAGTTCCGTCGACGCTGGAACGGGCCTCCGCCGCTGCAAAAATAGCATGGACCCAAGCGATCGCGCGCGCCCCTCCTCGCCCCTCCAACTGGCCCCCCCCGCGCGTAGCTTTTCCGTGCAAGAGCCGCGATGGCATGCTGAAGCGCGCTGAACCGGGCTTCTGCCCCAGACAACCCTGCATTCACAATGGGGCGCAATGAAATACAGCGCCCCCCTTGAATCAGAACTCTACGTTGACAAAATATACTGCCAAGACGGTTAAAAGGCAGCACTCGCAGCCTGGATCCGTCTCAAGGGCCCCAGCCCAAAAGATTGCGTCGGCGAGATCCGCGGCCCCGGGTGGCCAACGTCATCGGCATGTTTCGCGTCCCGAGCCCGAAGAATGGCAGCTGCCCCTCGACGAGAGCTGGCGGGGGCGTTCGCGACCCCTCTTGCTCCTGCTGGTTGTGGCGCAATCCCACGGAGGTTACTTCCCGATCCAAGATGGAGTCATTGAGGTCCAGGACATGAGCGAATCTGCGAGGATTATTTAAATTCTGGCGGGTTACCTGTGAATTTCGGCAGTCCGAAGTAGATGGGCCCCATCGGAATCGGACCCGTTGTTGGGGGGCCACGACCGCGGGCGCAGCTCCAGGGTCCTCGCGCTAAAACCGATCAAGCCACCGGTCGACTGGCGGCATAGACACGCGAACGAAGCTGGCCACTGCAAGCGCGTCTCCGCGCAGAGCCGCACATCCAGGGCATGCCGATGAAGAGCCCGCGCTGGGCGGCAGCGTGCAATCAGATGCGCAATATCTTTGTCCACGCAGCTTGCGACCGACATGCCGAGCAAGGCGGCGGGTGCTGAGTCGAGAGTTAACTGCGAGACACTGGCGAAAGGTCGATCAGAGAGTCGCGCCGATGGATTCGCGCCTCGCTGAACCCCCAGCACGCGCGCGCTACCAACGTACCCCTGCGCCTCCCGACGTAAGGAAAACCGCAATTGCATTCAGATTGCCCAGGCTCGGGGCCCACTCTGAATGCGCTTGTGTAGAAGCTCTTGCCAAGGAGATCGGGCCCGCATGCAGCGTTTTTTTTTCCGCTGGGCCCTGGAATCGCCGCACTCGGAACCGCAGACCCCTGGCTCTTCGGAACGGTCTCGCAATATCCAACCAGGGAGACACCTCATGGAGCACCTGCTGCGCGAAACTCCCGACAACGTCCACGGCATCGGCCCCCAGCCCCGCCCCCTGGCGGCAGCTCGCGGCGCCCTGGGACCGCTGACGCGCGCGCTCCCAAAGTTTTGGCGGCATCGCCTAGCGCGGGGCACCTCGACGCTTGGGGGGGGGGCACGAGCAGCAGACTTCTGACGCAGCCGGTAAGCCTCGTGAGCACGCGCCATCAGCGCGCCCGCCTGGCGGGCATAGCCGTGGCACCGAAGCTTACAGATGGCATCTCGATGCCAACGATACCCAGGCAATTTAGCCTCTCTCGCTCGCATCTCCCCTCCAACTCTGCCCCCCCCCCCCCCCTCCAACTTGCATCCCCAGCCCCGCATCCATTGTTCCAGCGAAGGTAGTGACCCGCGCTCAGCTGGCGAAGGCCCCTCGCGGCTCTCCCGAACCTCCCCCCTGTCATCTGCGCAGTGAAAGGCTGGA